TTAGGAAATTATTAAGGAGAAAGGAGGATGAGAGACATCTCAAGTTCTTGTCATTGGTAATCTTTAATTTGACGAATTGGAGGTTGAGAGATGACTATTAATAGTGATGGAATGATTTGTGTATAATTAAATAACACTCTTGGAGTCTTGGTGGTTGAGGGTCGTGTAGTAGTGAATGAGAGAGTATAGTTGAGAAGAGAAAATACACACTAGCTTATATTTCGGTATATACCGATCCCAATCCCGTAATCCCTAATACTGAATAACAATTGAAATTCAATCCTAATCCCAATCCCAATAAATAATACGTGTATTCGGTAATCCCAAATATAGACAAATTCCGTATGGTATTCAGTATATCCCAAATACCAGTACCAAACTTTCAGCCCTAATTGTATGTATATGTGTAATTAACTAATTCACACATTGAGAGGTGGGCTCGTTGCCCATAAAAAAGGAAATTGCTAAATGTCGCCCGAGTCCTATGATAATCGTCATGATTTAAACAGTACATTTACCTATTTATCCTTATCTTTTTTTTATTATTAGAATATATTATATTCTAAACAAATAAGTCTATCCAAAAAACTAAAACCCACCCCATCGCCATTGCCGCCATTTACTTGCTCCCGCCCCTCAGTCACCCACCGACGGTCGCCGATTCCACCATCTACCGCCTTCATAAATGTCATCGTTATGATAATTGCATCTGGGAGAAGGAACACACGCACCTGGGATAGACGACATCGAGGATTTGATTCCGGTGTTGAGGATAAGAGATAGACGCGAAAGATGGCGGAATCGGCCCACATGAGACGAAGAGGGGTTTTCATGCCTTAGCCATTTTTTATAGCCGGCAAAAGAAGCTAAGGAGAAGCTACTAAGATACCAAGTGGAGGGGGGCAAGGTGGTGGCACTTGCAATGTTAAGGCATTGTCAAAACAATTGAGAGGGTAACCATCACTTCACGTCAGTAGAGCAATTTTTTAAGGTTGTTACTTCTTGTGGCTATATATAGGAAGTGAAGATTACATAGCAAGGGTTCGCAAAAATTACAACTCGACACTACTTGTCAAGATTTTATCATTTTTATCTTTCCTCTGAAAATTTTAGCAATAGTCGCAGTACTAGAGCTCTCATTGAACCTTCATAGAAGTATGGCTAATTTAATGCAGTCTTTGTCTTGTGAGTTGTAGAAACATCAAACACCCTTGTTTGAACTTTTTTCAAAGATGTGTGAACTCCGTTTTTTAATCGTTGTTCAAGAAGTCAAGGTGCAATCAATTCAACTTCAACGCAAGTTTTCTTGTCAGAAAACAAATTGACACACATGGTGGGACATTTGTGTTTGATTTGATGGCTATTAGGTAGAGGAATCAATAAAGTGTCATTTCGGTTAGTTTTGTGGAGGACCATGTAGCCAACATTGAAATTGACTTAACTTTGCCTTGGGATACCTTCTCTTGGAAGGAGGTAGAAGTGATGGCTCTTGCATTTACTTTATGGACTATAGTATCCTTCAACTATTTAGCCTGCTCGATATCCCAAGACATGATATGATTTTGATCAAATCAATTTTCATGGATAACATGTGTTCCGTGGTTAAGCATGGTAGTGGGATGTGGAGCTCGAGCTTGGACAAAATGGCAAGGGCTTGATCAGGCTAGACAAAGTCAAAGACCACTATAACTCCCTCCAATGTGTGAGAAAGGAAGTTGTCAATTGCATAGAAAGCTTTATGGATTGATGAATAAGGTGGGTATTAAAGGGGTGGTGGCCACCCCCTAATATTGACTATCCAAGTCCGGTAGGAATTGAAGGTCTTCATTAAGAGTGGTGGTACCCTGCAAGTTGGATACACATGAGATTATAAGCAAATTCATCATTTTTAATAAATAAAAAAACATAGAAACATCATCTAGAAATTTCCGGTTATAGAAAGAATACATTAATTATGATATACACAATAATACCCATTTTTCTATATGCTGAGAAATAAACTAGTCATTCACAACATGTGTTGGTTGTGATCTTATCACCATGATATGACATTCGTATGATGATATATCTAATTGGGTTTAACTTGAAATTAAAAAAATTGCACGGGAGGACAGAGCTCATTAATTATGATCTATACAATTACAACAATTCTGTTATATTTGAGCAAAAAAATTAGTTATTAAAAAATACGTGTATGTTGTAATCTTATCACTGTCATATCATGATCTCTTAGAGGTGTAAACTTGACCCTAAAAATTCACTGACCCGCCCCCGACCTTGAGGGTTGGGCTAGGTGAGTTTGACTACAGGGTTAGTTTAGGGTCTGGTCATCTTTTGACCCTGTAAGGGTCGGGTAGGGTCGAGTCAATTTAGAGTCGGGTCACTTTTTGTCCCTGTGACCCTCAAGGGCGTAGCCAGGATATGGTCGAGGGTGGGTCCATTTTGAAAAAATACATACAATATCATGTATCGAACAATTATTCGTAATTTTGTTAGCGATTTGCTTTTGAATGATATTCTTTGTCAATACCGTTTAGTATCAATTGATTTGCTTTTGGGTACCAAAACATAATTTTACCATCAAAATTTAAGGACTGATCTGTAAATAATTAAATTTTAGGATATTAAATTGTAAAAAAAAAAAATTTTAGGTAAATAATTAAAGATTCGTGTAAGTTGTCTAAAATGACTTTGCCTTCCAACCCTTATGCTAACCTCACCGTCAAATATACTTCCAACAACAACTGTCCATATAAAGTTTTGTATTAAAATTTATGCTTTATATACATAATATAATTAATTTTGGACACAAATATATCAATGCAAAAAATACACAGATTTTACATATGTGGTTTGTTTTTAAGCTTGATAATGTGGTATTTTATTTATTTTATAAGATACTTTTGACATATATTAGCTAACCGTTACATTTTAAATTCTTATTTGGACGCACTTATTTGACTATTTCAGTGTTGCTGCTAACTCGCGTTTGTTTTTCTTCTTTTTGCCGACCGCAAATTCGTAGGGGAGTAGATGGCACCAATTTTACGTTTTATTGGTGGGATATAAACGTTTGCCGTTAATTCAGCATACGGAGGAGAAGGAAAATGACAAGCGTCGTCCAAGGGAAGGCACAGATAGCTTGCTAGTTGCTTGTTTAAATCGACGCTGCAAGAGAATCCAAATCCACAGGTCACCATTGATAGTTTGATACCGTAGAAGAAAAGACAAAAAAAGCTCAGTGGTAAGTTTGGTCACTAGAATTACGAAAAAATTCATGTTTGCCAGTAAAATTAATTTATTCCATCCGTAGTCACTTAAATTAAGTTAACAGTTCAAGTTAGGTCACTTGCTGTTAGTCTCCGTTAACTTTTGCTGATGTGGCGGTCAACTCTTATAGTTAACCGTTAAATGAGTGATGCGGCAATTAAAATAATAATAAAAAATAAAATTTAATTATTTTTTATTTTCCACCTAATTATTAAAAAAAAAACCTAACTTTGCCGCTAACTTCTCTTCAGTCACCGGATTGAGAAGGTACGCGCTGTTGCCGACGGGGCCAAAGGAGGACCAACCAGCCGTCGCTGGAGCCCACGCTGCGGCTGGTCCCTATGTTTGCGAACGAGGCGGCCGAGTTCGCCGCCGCGATGATCGAAGGAGGGCATGCGGTCCAGATCGGGGAAGAAGCGATGACCGATGGGGTGGCCCACAACGAGTTATTGTGGTGGTAGTGGTGCCGTCACGGCGACCTCGAGAAGACCGTAGTTTCGGCAATGCGAGGATGCCTGGAGTGTTGCGGCGGCAACGGTTGTGGGGGAGGAGGTTTTTCTTGGGCCCAAATTTCGAAATCGTTCCTGAAGCTTACCTGTCAAAATGGTACACGGCCACAAGCAAGGTCTACGCTGTGACCAGGGCCTGGAGATTGTTGTTGAGGAAGATAGAGTAGAAACGGTTGAGCCTGGTGCACGTGAGAGGGGATGAGATTGAGCTGTACGTGGAGCTGAGATAGGTAGATAGATAGATAGATCATAGATGAATACGTACAATGGGGCAAAAGGGGAAACTCTTAAACAAACAAAGGTCGTCTCCACTTCCATTTCCATCCCAAAAAGTCATCTTCTCCACCATCCATTCAATTCCTTCCTTGTGGCCGCAGACCAAACAAGATCCCTCCACCGTCCACAACCCCAATTTCTTCCTTCTCAGTCTCTCTATCTTTAGGGTTTTTCGATTCGGTTGTCTGCCATCAGTTAATTAATTCGTGCAAAAGACAATATACTGATAGATCTCAAAACAGCCACGTGGAAGCCTCCATTGGCTCTCCTCCTTTGCTGCGGCCAAGAAATATCGCACATTTTTCACTCTGCGAGGTGAGATGCGTGGAGGGTTGTCGTTTATACTCATCTGATTTTTAGGGTTCTTTCCTTCTTTCTTGGTTGACTTGAAGCAAATCTTTTTATAGTGCCTAAGTTGGTCAAAGATGGTGAAGGGGAAAGTGGAGCTGAGGAAGATCGAGAACGTAGCGAGCAGGCATGTGACGTTCTCGAAGCCGAAGTATGTGCTGCTCAGGAAAGCTCACGTGATGTCCGTTCTGTGCGACGGCGAGGTTGCAGTCATCGTCGTCTCCCAGTGCGGGAGGCTCTCAGAGTTCTCTAATCACGAGTAAGCTAATGCTATTTAGGATTTTCTTTTTTTAATTTTTAAAATAATTAGGTGGAAAATAAAAAATCATTAAATTTTATTTATTATTATTATTATTTTAATTGCCACGTCACTCATTTAACGATCAACTATAAGAGTTGACCGCCACATCAGCAAAAGTTAACGGAGACTAACGGCCAATGACCAAACTTGAACTGTTAACTTAATTTAAGTGACTACGGATGGAATAAATTAATTTCAGTGGCAAACGTGAAATTTTTGAGTAATTCTAGTGACCAAACTTGCAATTTAGCCAAAAAAAAAAAGTTGTTCATTCCTCACTAAGTGGACCATCGAAAGTCTTCGGTTCTTCGTTGATACGAAATTTGACGGGAAGCTCGCCAAATCCAGATCCGTCTTTTGGATCTTCCGCCATCACCATCATCAATACTATCCATCTGCCACCACAAATTTAGCGCCCCTCTGAGCTCCCTTTATAAGCACCGGAAATGCAGAACTTTTCTGGTCATGCTGCTTCCCGGCCTTTTCTTCTGTACTACTCTGGCTCCTTCATTTCCCTCATCTCCTTCTACGGACGAGAATGATCTCCGGGGCGGCTCTTCTCCACAGACCCACCTCGAAATTCTTCTCCGCTCGTCCTTACCGGACCAATTTCTCCAGACCCAGTTTGCGTATTCGGGTTTCTACGCCCGAATCGACCGGCTTTCGTGGAACTAGGACGAACGCGAGAGCTGGACTTTCGTCGAACACCATGTCTACCGAGTCGTTCAAGTCGCCTGGAATTAGTAGGGGGAGGAACGAGGAAAGTATGGGAGTACATCAGCAGGAAGTTTTGGTCAACGACTCTCCCGCGTTTCAAGCTCTATCAATTGACGGCGGTGGACTGGAAGCTACCCTCAATAGCATGGTTTGTATCCTCGTTCGTTCTCTGTCGTCTCTTAACCGTCGATTGGTTTTAATAGCACAAAGAAGTTTCTATTTGTTAGCATTTGTGGCAAATTTCAATTCAAGGGTTTTGGGTAAGTCATTGCCTTGATTAAAGAAGTCCCATCTACCTATCGAACTGTTGAACGAGGTTCCCTTTTTTCATTTGTTTCTTCTTGGGTTGGTGGCAGAGCAAATGGTTAGTATCTGCGTCTTTTGGCGCTTTCTTTCTGTGGAGGCACGATGCAGAGGCGCTGTGGGTGGCTACAGGTGCTGTCATCAATTCGGTCCTGTCAGTGGTACTTAAGCGGATTCTGAACCAGGAGAGGCCATTTCCTACTGCGAGAGGTGACCCTGGAATGCCTTCTTCACACGCTCAATCCATATTCTACATTGTTACCTTTGGCGTTCTCGCAAGTAAAGTTCTTTCCTCTACTACACAATCTGCTCCATTTTTAGCTTGTTGGGTGGCTCTCAGTTGTTTGGTCCGAAGTCTGAATCATTTGGGAATTTGCTCTCTGAATTCTGTGTTGCAGCTGTTGAATCGCTAGGGGTGAATGCAGTTTCAGTCATCCTCACTGCAATATTTTTGGCTAGTGGCTCCTATTTTGTGAGTGCACACCTTTCTCAGCTTGGGATGATTCCAGCGTTCATATTTCTAATGTTCTTATTAGAGTCAAACATGGTGGGAGATTTTGTGACCAGAAGCTTGCTTTCTCTTTTCTAATCCGTTTTTTGGATTGGCAGTCATGGCTACGAGTATCGCAGAAGCTACACACAGTGAACCAAGTGGTGGTTGGAGCAGTAGTGGGTACAGGTTTCTCAGCTTTGTGGTATTGGCTATGGAGTGAATATATGTTTCAGGCTTTCATTTCATCTGTTTGGGTTCGGCTGGTGGTTGTTTTGGGCGCTCTTACATTCTGCGTCAGCTTCATCGTCTATGTTATTAACTACTGGCTTATTGATGATTAGTTCTCTTATCTCTCTTCATTCTTAGTCAGTTTTTAAGAAAAACTAAGATATCAGCTAATAGACAAGAGGCTACAGAAAATCCTGTAGATCAGCTGATAAGATGGACTGGTTTATCCCAGGACAGGGTTGTAAACTTGTAATGTATTCATGTAAAATAATGTCTGCATGTCCTTGTCAATTGATGGCAATGGCTAATTCTTTCCAAGTTCTGTACACTATCAATCAGAGGTGCAATTAACATTGTCCACTTCATGTAATACATCCTTTGCCCATTATACAATACTGGAATTATCTTGTTTGGACAGCAGGTTTAGAAGGACAGAGAATCTCACTCACACAGAACATCGAATTGCTCAATTGGTTTAAGTATCTCAAGCTCTATTTGACTACTCTTTGCACTTGTAACGCGGTCTTGAGAAAAGCGTGGTCTTGAACTCTTGATATAGCAGTAGGCTTGGCAACTGGGCCCGAATTCCGGGTGCCCGCCCAAGCCCGATCCGTCTCATGGCGGATTAAATCTGTTTGACCGGATTGTTGGCGGTTTTCGGGGAACCCAAAACCCGCTGTAGCCGGACGGTGATGGTTTTGATTGATAAGATTAAGAGAAAGATGGTTCATAGAACGCAAACCACTCTCAAGGGAAGTAGAAAGCTTGTAGTTGCGTGTAATCCTTGTTTGCTGTTTCCAGTCACTGCAACTGCAAGGAAGGAGCACAAGCCGTAAGTCTTCTTATAGCCTTACTCAGTGGATTTTGCAAAATTTTGAGTGCTTGTTGCATGTTTTTTTTTATCCAAGATAAGCCCCGAGGGCATGGCCGAACAACAAATATATATAACCGACAAAATTAAAGAACGGTAGCCCGTATGCAACCGGACTCCCGATGAAAGAGCCTTATATGCCACGAGGTGGGCAGCTCTGAGAAAGCTCCGGGGAGCAAAAGGACACGAAACTGACACAGGGTACGAGAAGAGAGAAAATAAACTTCCCTTATAGTGATAAGACTTCCACGATGCCACATCACCAATGCCAGTTGAGAACCTGGGAGGTCAACGGAATCAGATGCATATCCTTGAGCATTCTTTGTGGCCCAATCGAAACGAACGATTACATCTTCGCTATGGGAAGATTATACCATTGAGCCATCGTCGGAAATTCATATACAACAACAAAAATATGTATAAAACCAACGAAATTGAAACAAATAAATGAGTTAACGAAAATACTAACAAATGAGACCTCTAGCTATAAAGGTAAAACAAATAAAAAGAATATTACTACATAAAAAAACTATTAAAATTATAAATAATACAACAACAAGCCTCAAACCCAAAAATAATAAAGCACGTAATGATAGTAAACAAGAAAATCAAAATAGAAAACCAACAACAATTAGAGGAAAAAAATAACAATTACCAACTGTAAAGGTCAAACAACGATAACACAACCCACTCAAAAAGACTGTTGCTGTTACAAGGGGGAAAGGACTTAAAAAAAACTATAATAAAAACAAAAGGAAATTAAAACGTAAAAGGAGATGAAAGAACACGAAAAGAAAACACTAAAACAACTAAGAATAACCGAAATACTGAAATAAAAAGACAAAAAGGAAACACACAACTTTTATTAAAGAATAACCAGGGTCTCAATTAAAATTCTAAGAACCTAAAGCCCAAATTAATACGGAAAATAGCTGTCGATCGCTAACAATTAAAAAGGAAAGAGCTTAAACAGCCTTATTAATTTCCTATTTGACTCAAAATTAATTGAGAATGATGAATTGCCCAAGAATAAATTAACCTATAATGGAGACTAAACTAACGTTAGTTGAGTATATAAAAACAAGGAAAAACTTAATGAGCCTCATAAATCCCATTTTTGAATCAAAATTAAATTCGATGGGAGAGAGGGATTAACGCAAATCAACATTTAACGTTCACTAAAATTACGAAAAACAATCAATGCGGGAATGGACACCACTGAATCGCCGGCAACCAAGCTCGGAAGGAGTTTGAGTTACCTGATCGCCGGAGAGGAAGAATCTGTGGAAGATCCCACAAATTTCTGCCATGAACAGTGTTGAAGAGGAAACAAATTCCACCAAATTGCAACACAACAAGATGATCTCAAGGGCTCCAAAGGAAGCCTATAGCGATGACCCGCATCGTGGGATCGAGAATAAATCTCAAATAAAAATGGTTGATCGCTGAAGGAGTCGTCACAAAGAAACGGCAGCCACTACCGGATTGAATCCAACTGAACTCACAAAAAGAAATTTATGTAATGGACAAGGGATCCATCTGATTTAAGGGACTCACATTTGAGTGTTGTCGCACCAATCCGGCCAGGATGTTAATTGATCTCTCAATGCAATTGAAGCAAACGAAAGACAAGGTAAGGGGTTTCGATCAGAAGGGATTAACCTTGACGGCGGCTTTGACAGCGTCACCGACTTCACCACGATGAAGTCGTGACCGAGGGGGTGGCTTCTCCCTTGCTCTGTGCTCGTACTACCCGCTATCAGGCCGCCTTTCCGCCGACGAACCCGATTCCGACGACAATTCCTCTGTTTTCATCGACTGCAACAACGCCGGAGCCGCGTTCGTTCACGCCGTCGCCGATATCCTCCAACGCCATTAGAGTGTTGAGAGCTCCGGTGTTGAGAGCAATTCCACTGAACACCCATTAGTGACTCTTATCTGCTGCAACTTTCCCTACTAATCCTTCTTGTTGCATGTTTAACTCATCCCCTGTTTCGTGATTTCTGTAGGGTTGCAAGGTTACTGCATGCCCTGTTTCATTGATCATTCACTATTCACGAAGGCAATTTACTCGATTCCACAGTCTGGAGTCTTATTAGTTTTAGTCATTAGTTCTTAGTTTCAGTTGATTTAGCCTTGATTTGTTTGCTTTTTCCTGATTGATTACATGTGAGGCAATGGAAGGTGTTGAATTCAGTAACTCTCCCAAATCTCAATCCACACCCCCACCCATCAACTCTGAACCCCTGCAGCAACAACCTTTGAATGCTGCTGATGCACCAGAAACTGTTGTGAATGATGGTAATGTAGTGACTGTTGCTGGTAATGCACCAGTCAACGATGGTGAGCCTTATCTGCTTCCATTTGGGGCCAAACGTCCACTAAAAGCGATGTTTGGCCTCACTTTACTGAGTTTGTAGATAAGGCTGGTGTGATGAAAGCTAGGTGCAAATATTGCCATAAGGTTCTTAGTGGTGATACTAGCAATGGTACCTTTCATTTGAGGAATCATAAAGAAGTGTGTGTTCAAAAACAGATTCACGATGGCCATTGGAAAAATATTGCCACTAATTTCCTTTCAAATGGTGTTCTTAGGAGGAAAGCAATCTGTACTGGTCAGTTTAATGCAGAGGTTTCTAGGAAGGAACTTGTTACTATGATTTTGATGCATGAGTATCCACTTGGTATGGTGAATCACTTGTACTTCAAAATATTGTGCAATTCTCTGCAACCATTGTTTAAAGTTCCTTGTAAAAACACTTGCAAGAGTGATATTCTTGCAATGTATGGGATTGAGAGGAAAAAGATGCAAAGGTTGATTGATGGTAACAAATCTCGAATTGCTGTCACCAGGTAATCGGAAGAGAGCTTGCATGGCTGTAACTGCTCATTATGTTGACAATCAGTGGAACCTTAGGAGCCACTTGCTAAGGTATATGGCTGTTTGACTCTTTAAGTTGTTTTGCTTATGTGTTTAACCACTAACTAATTATTTTGGTCTGCCTCTTGTTTGATGTTTTGTATCACGGGTTTCTCTATGTGACTGCTCCTCATACTAGTGAGAAACTAGCAAGTGTGCTTCGAGAGGCCCTCATGTCCTGGAATGTGGATGTAAGTTATCCACTATCACTCTCGATAATTGTTCTACAAATGATGCCATGATTGATAAGATTAAGAGAAAGATGGTTCTTTCTGACTTCATAATGAATGGTTCATTGTTGCAAATGAGATGCTCTGCTTATATTCTCAACTTAATTGTCAAAGATGGGCATGAAATTATCAAAGATGGGATTGAAAAGATAAGGGAAAGTGTGGTATATTGGACTGCAACTCCAAGGAGAGTTGAGTTCTTTGATGAGATTGCTAAGCAAAACGATGTTGATGTTTCTACCAAACTTGCACTAGACGCCCTACTAGGTGGAATTTCACACTCACTATGCTTGAATCTGCAATTCCATAGAAGGAAGTGTTCACTCGTTTGAGTTAGAGAGAACCTAATTATACTTCCTTGCCTAGCAGTGATGATTGGAAGTTTGCCACTATTATCTCCAAAAAACTTTCGGATATGTTTTCTGGAAGCAATCGGTAGATGCACACACGGTTTCAAGTAAATTTCATTGAACCTTACTGCTAATTTGTTCTTTCCAAAGATCTATGGTTTGAAATTCGAATTGAATGAGTGGAGATTTGGTCCCGATGAGATCATTAGTGCAATGGCCGAAAAAGTGTGGATCAAGTTCAGCAAATACTGATGGTTGGTTTGCTTTCGGTATCCTTCATGCTACGTTTTGGCTGATTTGAATTCAGCGCAACCAGCGCATCTTCAGGGACTCTAAATCAGAAGCCTTTATTATTGCTCGACAAGCTGTCAAGATGGTCATATCCTGGGTCTCTGCACATGGCAAAATCGACAAGATTAGTGCTTATGATTGGCTGGCTGATTGTCTTTCTCGCATGTAAACTCGAGGATGCAGTGGGGGCGGTCACGTCCGCCTGGCGGCTCCTTTTGTTTCTATTTCTTATTCCTTTTTCTTCAATTAGTTTTCTTTCTTGTTTTTCCCCTTGAGTAGCTGTTTTTTCCCCTCCTTATTGTTTTTGAACTCTGTTTGCGTGTACTCCTGGTTCAGGTCTTATGAACCTGTACTCTTTTTTCTTCCTTATTAATTCAATCAGCATTATCAAAAAGTTCAGCAAATACTGGACTGATATTCATGTGTTGCTTACTGTGGCTGTTGTGCTTGATCCTGCATACAACCTTGAGTTGATTGGGTACTATTATGAAAAGTTTCAAAGCCTTGATTCTACTATTGATCCTTAGACTGTTAAGGCCATTGCTTATAATGTGGTACGTGAGTATCTGAGTGAGGGTGTCAGTCCTCGAGCTCCTAATGTTGGTGTTTTGGATTGGCAGAGGGTGAATGCTGGAAAATACCCTCTGTTGCAAGAGGTAGCAAGAGATTTGCTTGCTGTACGAGTGACCTCTGTGGCCTCAAAGTCAACCTTCAGCTCTGGTGGTCGACTATTAGATCCTCATCGGAGTAGGCTGCCCTTTGAAACTGTTGAGGCAATAATGTGCACATGTACTTGGATTAAGGATGATATAAGCAAAATAAGGGATTTATTTAATTGTTTCCAGCTTTGTTTGTGGTTCAAATACATTGTGAAATTAACTAACTCAATTCTCCTTTCTATTTATCGCAGATGCTAAAAAGGAAGGGATTAACGGATTGGAAAGCTGCTTCTTTGCATTGACAATGGAGGATCCAAGTTGTGAAGACTTTAAGAAAGGAGGTTAGTGAATACTGAACAATTAGATTAGTAATTTCAATTTCCAAGATGTTGAATACTGAACAAATTTGTATGATTTCACAAATTTTTAAGATCGTGCACTACTGAACTTTGATGCTTGAAGATCAAGCATGTGGCTGCTGATGCTGCTGAGTGCTTGTTGGTGCTGCCTGCTGGAGACTGGAGAGTTGCTGTTGCTGCCTGCTGGAGACTGGAGAGTTGTCGTTGCCTGCTGAAGCGTTGCATGCTATTAAATGTTGAGCTTGATTGCTCACTTCCTAAAGTTTATCTTTATGTTTTTAGTGGACTGGTGGTTTCCTACTTTGTTTCATTACTTGGATTAAAGTTTACGAACTTGTTTGTTTCGATTGGATGCCTTGATCCTTTTTGATTTGTTTAGAAAGTTTGGATTTTGGAAATTGGAATTGGAGTCCTCCAAGCCATTTGATTTTTCTCTAAGTAATTTCCAGTCTGCACTCTTTGTATTTTGTTTGTTTTATTTTGTATTTTTTTTTTTGGGTTTTTCCAAGCTGACAGTGGTACCGGGTAAATCCGTTAACCCCGATTCAAGCCCGTTACCCGTTGGATTCGGGGTTGGGCCTGAAAATGAGCCCAACAGGGCTAGTGGGGCGGATTCGGGGAAAGCCCCACAGACTTTCAGGCAAGTGGCGTAT